AGGACTCTAAATCAACACGTCTCAGGCTCATCTTATTCGTGTTGCGAGTCGAGTCAAGGTCGTCGCAGGTCCATGCTCGTGTTGGATTCCCTTCCATCAGTGGAGATGTCAACGTCATACGTGCCTCAGTGGTGCTCGACCTTGCCATGGCCTTTCTCCAAAAGCTTGTGTAGCTGCCACCACGACAATGACTCCTCGATCAGCCGCAGTCGAGCTTATTATTGTTGTCCAATGAGCCACCGACCGTCACAAGCAGCCTCGTCAGCGGGTACGTTGACACGAGCGTGAACAAGAGGGCCATCCGCTTTCAGCTGACCGAGCTGGTCGCGTTCTCGCCCAGGCGACCGGTGCTCCCAGCAGTCCTCGCGTTGTTGCATCTCGTTGAGGGTAGGCCCTTGAGAACCACCGACGACGTTTGCCGGCTACCGAATCTCGACGCTTCAACGAACTTTGTTGCTATACCTCTGGTCCGTGCTCTGCGTCCGCATCTTTTTCAATTCCTGACGCGATGACCTAGTCGCATTCTTCGCTCGGCCCTCCCACGTCATTGGGCGATCACCATCCAGGCGGCATGAGTTGCTCAATGACACTTGCATCACTGCCTCGACGTAAGGTCTCTCTCTTCCTTTACGTCTTACGCACCTCGCACAACACGAGCGGTTGCACCGGCATCGCGCTTCCGTTTCCGACAGCCGCGTTTCTGTGCCGAGTCTCCGCAATGAAGAGAGTTTGCCACCCATTTCCAGTCGAGCACTCTCGACTTCACTAAAAACCGACTGCAGCAGCGACTACACAGAAGTGCAAGAGCAGGAACTGGCGACGGCTGTCATCCACACAGTTATGCGCGACCCCGCGGCATGTCTCAGAGCGCATCGAACCAATCAGCACGAGCTATGATTAGCTGCGCTCAGCCATCACGTCAAACCCGATACCAATCCTAACCCTGTACTGTAGACCAGCGTACGTTGTTACACAGAGATACGTGTGGCTATTAAGAGGACAAAACCAGATGAGATACACCTCGTTGTTGCAGGGGATGATCCAATGTGCTCGGTCTCAGAGCAACTGGCACCTACAAGGCTGCATCTCGCCGAGACGCAATGCCGCGCAGTCTACTCATCACAGCGCCAAACGTTCTTTCGGCCCCGCGTGAGTAGATTTCTAGTTGCGAAATGTGTGACACCGAGTGTCCTTAAAATCAGTTGCCTTGTCAACCATCGGCTCGGTCCGAAGCGCAGTACTGCTTAGGAGTGTTTTCAAGATCACGCTATAGCGCCAGAGCCTCTGATTTGACCATTCAAGTACATAATCGCGATGCAAATAGCAGAGTTTTGCACCTCAGGTTCTCTTAGCTTCTCAAGTGGACGAACATGCGCTCCGTGCGCTGCAACGCCAGACAACCGCATGCTTGGCGAGAGGAATGACTCACCGATTCCACTAACTCACAAAAGCCATTCATCTGATACGTGCGGTCAGTGTGCAACACTATCTTGGGCGTGTTTCTATCTTGGTGCGCAGATTCAGAGGTCGTGCCCGACGACGACGCCTGCTCTGGCGGCAACTTCGGCGCGAGCACCCGGTTCGTGCACGCTCCATGGCTTTGGACTTGGCGCCTTTCGACTCACTTTTCATTTGTCCATCTCTGCTCCAAGCGATCAATGGTCAACAACATCCTCGGCTTTCTAGCACTGATCCTTGCGGCTGTCGCCGCTACAAGCACTCCCAACTCGGCAGGCATGAACAACAGCTTTTACTACTCAATGTGGTCGGACGGCGTCTCGGACGTGACGTACACCAATCTGGCGGCCGGCGGGTACGCAGTCAAGTGGTCGAGCGCCAGCAACGGCGGCGGCAACTTTGTCGCGGGCAAGGGCTGGGAGGTCGGGACGCACCGCACCATCTCGTATTCGGGGACGTACACGCCCCGTGGCAACAGCTACCTCACGGTTTACGGCTGGTCGCACAACCCGCTCATCGAGTACTACATTGTGGAGAACTACGGCACGTACAACCCCGGCAGCGGCGGCCAGCTCAAGGGCACCGTCACCTCGGACGGCAGCGTCTACGACATCTACACGGCCATGCGCTACAATGCTCCCAGCATCGAAGGCGACAAGACTTTCCAGCAGTTTTGGTCCGTGGTACGTCGTCTCGGTCTATTCATCGATCAAAATGGTCCTGACGCCTGTCTCTCGCTAGCGCCGCAACAAGCGCACGGGCGGTAGTGTCACGACCGCCAACCACTTTAACGCGTGGGCCAAGCTCGGCATGAAGATTGGCACAACGATGGCGTACCAAATCGTCGCGACCGAGGGCTACCGCAGCAGCGGTTCGGCCAGCATCACGGTGGCGGCCGACGGCGCCTCATCCAAGCCCACCTCCAAGCCCACCTCCAAGCCCACCGCCAAGCCCACGTCCAAGCCCAAGCCCAAGCCGGCGTCGAAGGACAACCTTCCCACGAGCTTCAAGTGGAGCTCGTCCGGTCCGCTCATCTCGGCCAAGGCCGATGGCAAGGGCGTGAACGCGATCAAGGACCCGACGATCGTGCAGGTCAACGGCCAGTACCACGTGTTTGCGAGCACGGCGTCGAAAGCCGGGTACAACCTCGTGTATCTGACGTTTTCGGACTGGGCCAAGGCGCAGTCCGCGCAGTTTCATTACCTCGACGCGACGCCGATCGGGAAGGGGTACCGCGCGGCGCCCGAGGTTTTCTTTTTCAAGCCGCACAATCTGTGGTACCTCGTGTACCAAAACGGCAACGCTGCGTACTCGACCAACAAGGACATTGCCAACCCATCCGGGTGGTCGGCGCCGCAGAACTTTTACGCGAGCCAGCCCAATACCATCAAGCAAAACATCGGCAACGGCCACTGGGTCGACATGTTTGTGATCTGCGATGCCGCCAACTGCCACCTCTTCTCGTCGGACGACAACGGCCACCTCTATCGGTCGTCCACGAGCATCAAGAACTTTCCCCGTGGCTTTGGCGAGCCCGTCATCGCGCTCCAGGATACGGTCAACAAGTTTGCGCTCTTTGAGGCCTCGTGCATCTACCGTATCGGCAACCAGTACATGCTCGTCGTCGAGGCCATTGGCAGCGACGGCCATCGCTACTTTCGGTCCTGGAAGGCGTCGAGCCTTAGCGGCGCCTGGACTGCGCTCGCCAACACGGAGGCCAACCCGTTCGCGCGCGCCAGCAACGTCCTGTTTGCCAATGGCGCCGCGTGGACCAAGAGCATCAGCCACGGCGAGCTCGTGCGCACGCAGACGGACCAGACGCTGACGGTGGACCCGTGCCAGCCGCTGCGCTTCTTGTACCAGGGCCTCGACCCCAAGGCCGGCGGCGACTACGACGCGCTGCCGTACAAGCTCGGTCTTTTGACGCAAACCAACGCCGTCAAGTGCTAATGCGTTGGTCTTTTGTCGTTGCTCTTGCCACGATCAGTGATATAATGTCATTTGGTGTCACTATTCCGATTCATATCATGAGATTGATCAGTGTTTGGTGGTTGTAGCCGCGATGGTACCGGGGGTCGTGTCAAATGCTGTGGCTGTCGGAGTGATAATCAAATGGCAGGCGCCTCCAACGCCGGCACGACACCGCGCCGTTGCGGGTTGTCTCACAGCCATAAATGTCTGTTGTAATACCGATGTCTCGTCGCGCCACCTACCTTCAACATTCGCCCTACAGTATCCCAATCCTATGGCAGTACCAGAGGATTGGGATACAATATGTGCCAGACTGGCGCATATTGTTTTGTTGAAAATGATGCATTTTCGTCTTCGCAGCCGAACGGTCACGACGTTTTGTCGTATGGGCCATGTACTAAAGTCCCGGAAATACGCTGTCGCACCCTATCGAAATGAGAGTTATCCACAACATTTATTTATGATATACTTGAACCATTATTGTCTAGAATTTCGAAAGGCAACTACCGGCATTGAACCCACAAGCAGATGTGTTGCACTCGCGTTGGCATAAAAAATTGTTTTGGAGCATCGCTGAGCAGCGCGGTGCGCAGAGCGTCGAGCAGATTCTCGGCGTCGACTCCGAGGTGCAGTACGGCGACCCCGAGACGTCGACAATGTTGGATACGTTGGTCAGTGATGCAATTGGGTTGCCGCTGAGGTAGAGCTCGATCGCTGGGTTGTCCTTGAGCAGTTGCCACGGCACCTCTGATAGCTGGTTGAATTCAAGGTACACCCACGAGAGCTGACGATTGGTCACTGAGGCCATCGCAGGTATCGTCGATATCGCATTGGACGTGAGCCCAAGGGACTGAAGGTTCTCCAAACGCGTCACCGGTGCTGGGACCTGCGTCAAGTTGCACTCGTGAAGCCACAACGTAAACAGCGACTGCCACGTCACAGCCACCTCATCCGGGAGCGACGAGATGTTGGACCCGATAATGTATACCCATCGCAGATCTGGCCCCGACTCGGAAAGAAACTTTGGCACTGTTGTCAGAGCACTGTACAGAATGTCAATGCGCTTCAGCGACGGAAACACGGCGCTCGGCACATCCCACGTCTGCAGCTGCGTCCGCTCGAGACGAAGCCCAAACAAACTCGGAAACTGCGCCAGCGTCTTATTCTCCAAACCCCGGGGCACGTCGCAGTCTTGGATGTGGAGAAAAGCCAGGTTGTCGCCAAGGGTCTCTGCCCGAATGTAGTCATCGACGTGCGACGAGGCCGGAATGCCTTGGGACGCGCAGCGAAACCGAAAGTAGACGCACGCGCACTGGGATTGCAGCCA